TCTCTTATTCTTCTTCTCCATCTTTCTTGAAAACCATTTGTTCTAACAAATTGGTATTAAGGAGTCTGAGTTGCGATTCATAAAGAATCTATAATGGCAAATGAAAACACAGCATCAACGCAATTTTCAATGAATCTACCAATTTTCAAAGGTGAGAACTATGAATGGTGGGTTGCACAGATGAAACTCATTTTCAGATTTCAAGATGTTGCTGAAATTGTGAATGATGACGTACCGATATTAGAAGTGAATGTAGATGATATTCAGCAAGCTACAGACAAGGAACAAAGAAAGAAATATGGAAAATGTATGTTCTTTATTCACCAGTGTGTGAGTCTTAACGCACTCGAGAAGATAATTGAAAAAGAAACGACCAAAGAAGTGTGAGAAAAGTTGAAGAACTTGTACAGCGAAGATGAAAAGCTGGAGAGAGTGAAGTTCCATACATTGAGAGAGCAATTTGAGATGACTCAGATGAAGGAAGAAGACTAGTTCTCATAATATCTTTCACATATGGTATTGTTAACGAACCAAATGAAGTCGTGTGGTGAATCAATCAACAATTTGTAGAAGATTGAGAAAGTGTTGAGATCCCTGACTCTGAAGTTTGATTATATTGTAGTGTCAATTGAAGAGTCCAAAAACCTAGATGAGATGAAGTTAGAAGAACTTTAAGCTTTATTAGAGGCTCGTGAGATAAGGCCGAAGCAGAGGAACTCAGAAAGGGAAAAGGTGGCTGAACAAGTACTACAAGCAAGAATCATCAATAAATCTGGGAAAGATAAGGGAAATAATCTTGCTAATGATGAGAAATCAAGTAATAAGTCAAAGAATCACCCTGATTCGATCAAGAACGACATGGGCAACAAGTATTATGGGAAGAAAGTTGAGATGAAGAAGGTGCAATGTTACAACTGTCAAGGATTTGTCCATTATGCTCGAGACCGTCGAAGAAAGAAGGAAGCATGAGTGAAAGATAATGATGAAGTGCAATATTCACATGTTGAAGATAGTGATTCTGAGGATGTGTTGCTCATGGCTAACACTCAGTCGAACATTGGGCAAACCAACATGTGGTACCTGAATTTAGGATGCATTAACCAAATGACTGGTATTAAAGACTGGTTCACCAGGCTAGATGAATCAGTTGAGAAAGTGATAAAGTTTGCATATGGCAGACACATTACATTATATGGAAAAGGAGACATCTCTGTTGTCAGAAAAGATGGTCTAAAAGCCAACATCGCTAATGTGTTTATGTGCCTTCAATGACAAGTAACATGATAAACACAAGTCAATTACTTGCAAAGGGTACACCATAAAGATAAAAAAGAATCATATGAAGGTGTATCATAATGATGGAAGGCTGATTATGATGGTATCGTTGACAGACAACGAGACCTTCAAAGTAGATATCAACCCAATTGATCACAAGTGTCTTGCTTCAACTGTAGAAGAAGACAAAAACATGATATGACATCACAATCATGAACTTTTAACCTTCATAAGTTTAGGTATGCTTAACTAGAAGAAAGATGATGTATGACTTGCCTCAGGTGAAAGAACCAAGTCAGATGCGCGAGGAACATTGAAAAGCAAAGCAGCCTAGGAAAACAAGTTCAAGCATGACTTGCCAATGAGGCCGAAGAAAAAGCTATAGTTAGTTCACTTTAATGTGTGTGGACCATTTGAAGTAAGTTTAAATGTATGTAATTACTACTTCATAACTTTTATAGATGAATTCACCAAATATATGTGGATTTACCTTATTGAAAGGAAAAGTGAGGTATTCACACAATTCAAGAAGTTCAAATTGCATGCGAGAAACAAAGTGGATGCAAGTTAAAGAAACTGGGAACTGATGGTGGTGGTGAATCCACTTCTCGAGAATTTGCTAGATTTTGCAATGAGGAAGGTATAAAGTATGATGCCATTGTACCCTATACACCTCAACATAATGGCATAATTGAGAGGAAGAATCGAAGTATATTGAACATGACTAGGAGCATGTTGAAAGCTAAAGAAATGCCAAAGAGATTTGGGGGTGAATCAACTTCGATATCAGTATACATTCTAAACAAATGTCTAACTAAAAAGATAATCGAGAAGACTCTTTATGAGGCTTGGACATGTGTAAATCCGAATGTTAACCATCTTAAAGTGTTTGGATCAATGTGTTTTAGGCATGTACCTGAACAATTGAGGAATAAGCTAGATGATCGGAGTCAAGCTATGGTGCTCATAGGTTATTATTTGAATGATGCATACAAGCTGTATTCACCAAATGATGATAAACATGTGATCAATTGAGATGTTTTAGTATATGAAAGCAAAGGGTGAGATTGTAGTCAAGGGTCAGTTTGACGGGAGTCAGACACAATTATAATTATGTTTGAAGAAGACCAACAAACTGAAGCCCCAACAAATCGGAATGAATAACCACCTGAGTAAAATGTTAGAAGATCGACTAGAGTAAGAATTGAGTCAACAAGGCTACTTTGATATAAGAGATTTCCAGATCAAGTAGTCGATGCAGATGATGACTTAATAGAAGAAGCAATGACGATGGTTGAAGCAGAACCAATTAATTTGGATCAAGCCATGAATGATACAAATTGATTAGTAGCCATGAAAGAAAAACTTATGGAAATCGAGAAGAACAAGAACTAAGAGCTTATCGAAGAGTCAATCAAGAAGTCAAATGATGTCATGTGGATTTACAAGCTGAAACGAAGGCTAAATGGCGAAATTGCCAAGCATAATGTAAGACTAATGGCGAGAGGTTTTCTGCAAAAACTTGGTATTGATTTAGACAAAGTCTACGCACATGTTGCAAGGTTGGAGACAATCATAATTGTTATATTGACAACAAAAATACGTCAGCTGGATGTAAAACAACATTTTTGAATGGACGTCTGGAAGAAGAAGTCTTTGTCAGTCAATCACCGGGATTCAAAATCAAAGGGAATGAGTTGAAGGTTTACACATTCAGGAAGACTTTTTATGGTTTGAAACAAACTTTAAGAGCTTGGAATAAGAGAATATTAACTTCCTTATTGAAGCAGGTTTCACAAAGCGTGTATTTTAACATGAAGTGTATGTCAATGATGCAGACAAGGTCAGTCGAATCATCATATATATGTATATAGATGATTTGTTGATTACAGATGCATATGAAGTAGAAATAAGAAGGGCCAAGTTGAAGTTGATGGAAGAGTTTGAAATGTATGACCTACGAAATTTGTCATATTTTTTAGGGATTAAGTTTAAGGACACAAGTGAAAGATTGTTTCTGCACCAGACGAAGTGTGCCCAAGATATCTTGAAGAGGTTCAATATTAGCAACTGTAATGCAATTGTTACACCATTAGAAACTGAAGCGAAGTTGAAGAGGGAGACAAATGATAAAAATTTTAGTGTGACATTGTACAAATAAATCATTGGATCCTTGAGGTATCTTTGTAATACCAGGTCAGACATTTGTCTATAGTGTTGGACTGTTGAGCAAATACATGGATAAACCCCAAGAATGTCCTCTCATTGCAGTCAAGAGAGTACAAAGATACATAAAAGGTACGGTTGATCATGATGTGCTGATGCCAAGGCAGAAGAATACCAACACATATATAGAAGTATATGGCTACATTGATTCAAATTTCAATGGATATCAAGATGAAAAAAAGAGTGTTGCAGGCTAAATATTCATGATCGAAGAAGCTCAAATCTCATAGAGCTCTAGGAAACAAAACATTGTGGATTTGTCATCATGTAAGGTTGAGTACGTTTCTGCATCATATGCAACATGTCAAGCAACATGGATAAAGATGTTATCCGAAGAGCTTAAGATAATGGAACCTAAGAAAATGAAGTTGTTTTTCGATAACAAGTCAGCTATCGATCCGACGAATCATTCAGCGTGTCATGGTCAAAGTAAACACATAAAAAAGGGGTATCATTTTTTGAGAGAACAAGTTAACAAAAGAAAGCTTGAACTTGAGCATTGCAAGACATAATGACAACTAGATGACACACTCACCAAACCTTTGAAGAAAGTCAGGTTTGACGAGTTGAAGAAAATCATCAGGATGAGAAGTCTCGAGAACATGAATTAGGGCGTGTGTTAGTAATTCAATATTCTGTTGAAAGCTAACATTCGACTATGTCGAAGTAGCTAGTCGACGTGAAAGAGTTAGTTGTATTCAACAAAGTCGAATAAATCATATAGTTGTGTCGAAATATAATTTGTAGTTTTGTACTTTACATTTTGTATGTTTTGGACTTGAGTCGGTTTATATAGTTAGTCTGAACTTTAATTACCTATATAAAAACATTGTATGATGTAAATCAAAACACACAACAACTTCACTCAATACAAAATTTCTACAATAGAGTTTATAGCGCACGCGCTCTCTCTCATATTATGTATTTTATGGTTTCATGAGTACTTCATAGATGGAGGTTATTAGGGTCAATATTTTAATTTTTTTAATGATAAGTTAATTGATAAATCAAATCAAATTATTGCACCACAGTTAAATAACAAGCTAAAAATGCAATGTTTGAAAATTTCAAAAACTAAATTTAAATAATTATAGTATAAAGATTACAATTTTATGAATTAGACGTGGATGAGTATACCTTATTGAATGATGCTTTTTATTTTTTATTTAAAGAGTTCTTCATTGCTTGCCCATTCCATTTAAGTTGTCAAACTCAAAGATATTGAGAATTAATAACAAAATACCCATGGTGGTGATTAAAATATAAAAGTTTTGTCATTTTCAAAAGAAAATAAATAAATTAATATTTTCCTCTCTCTCTCTCTCTCTCTCTCCCTCTCTCTCTCTCTCTCTCCCTTTGTACATTGCACCGGTCTCTATGGGCGACAACCTCAACAACCTCCTTCTTCTCTCTCTACATAACCAAAATGATCTCATCAAACCCATTTTCACATTCATCTTCTCTCTCTTCCCACTCCCACTCCCACACCAACAACAACCATGGCTTCATCTTCCACTTCCTCCCTCTCTCTCACCACCCCCCATCTCACCACCCCTTCCACCACCACAACCCGCCTCTCTTCCCTCCCTTCCACCATCTCTCTCACCCGCTCACCAACCCCCACCCGTCTCTCCCTCTCCCAATCCCAAACCCACCTCCGCCGCACCGCAATCAAAGCCTCCGCCGCTTCAACACTAACCACCGCGGAGTCATCACTAGTTGAAAAATCAGTCAACACGATCCGGTTTCTGGCGGTTGATTCTGTCGAAAAGGCTAATTCGGGTCACCCGGGTTTACCCATGGGCTGTGCTCCAATGGGTCATATTCTTTACGATGAGATTATGAGGTATAACCCGAAAAACCCGTTTTGGTTTAACCGTGATCGGTTTGTTTTGTCTGCTGGTCATGGGTGTATGCTTCAGTACGCTTTGCTTCATCTTGCTGGATACGACAGTGTTAAGGTAATCCAAAAAAACTATCTGGGTCGGGTCTGTTTTTTCAAAGTTTGGATTTTTTTATATGGGTTTGTGAATTTTGTTATTTGGGTTGAATGGGTATGTTGTGATCTGATGTGCTTGTTTGTATATATAGATCTAGTAACTATCCGAATTTTGAAAAAAGTGATTTTTGTTTTGGTATTGTGATTATGACTTGTGATTAAACAGTTTTGCAGTATTAGCCTTTTGTTGTTTTGAAAAAATAGATGCAAGTTGCTCTTTTAACTCTATTTGGTTAAGTTCGTTGCTTGTTAGATTAGTTTTTTAGGCTATAATTGGATATTTTAAAACCAGGAGCGGAATGGAATAAATATTTCAATCGAACATAACGATTATTCCATTCTGTTCTGCTCTATTCAATCACATTCCATCGATACAAACATGGCCTAAGGGAAAAGGCTAGTGTGTTGAATATGACAAGAGTGTGTTGTTAGGGTTTCATTGTTTTATCTTTGATTTATGGGAAGTTGGCAAGTATTTATTTGCCTTTTGGACTTGTTGATTATAGACTCAAGTGTTGTTATTATGTTTCGGTTTGAGTTTTAGGTAGAGGATTTGAAGGAATTTCGACAATGGGAGAGCCGAACTCCTGGACACCCTGAGAATTTCGAGACTCCTGGAATTGAAGTCACTACAGGTTGGTTATGACTTGAAGTTTGTATTTTGTTTATTTCATGATACGGCATTGTGATTTTGTTTAGTTGATTTGGTGGTTGTTGTTTTTGTTGCTTTTGTTTGTTTATTTCATCTTTGGTTGAAAATTTTACAGGGCCCCTTGGTCAGGGAATTGCCAATGCCGTTGGTTTAGCCCTTGCAGAGAAGCACTTAGCTGCCAGATTTAACAAGCCTGACAATGAGATTATTGATCATTACACGTAAGATGACTAAATCCCGCGTTTCTCGTTTTCATCTTCTCTAATCTAATAGCATTAGTTGTGTGCTTTTTTTTTTTTTTGCTTACGGTATTTGTTTTTTATAGGTATTGTATATTGGGCGATGGTTGTCAAATGGAGGGAATTGCAAATGAAGCTTGCTCGCTTGCAGGACACTGGGGATTGGGGAAGTTAATAGCCTTTTATGACGACAATCACATTTCTATTGACGGTGACACTGAAATTGCATTCACCGAGAGTGTTGACAAACGTTTTGAAGCACTCGGGTGGCATGTTATTTGGGTAAAGAATGGAAACACCGGCTATGATGAAATTCGCGCTGCCATTAAGGAAGCAAAAGCTGTCACAGACAGACCTACATTGATTAAGGTTAGTTTTAAATGGCTAATAAGTTTGTGCCTATCAAATTTTAATTAATTGCTGCCTGTTGTTGGTATTTACTGATGTTCATCTATTTCTCAGTTCACGACAACCATAGGTTATGGTTCTCCGAATAAATCCAACTCCTACAGCGTGCATGGAAGTGCACTTGGCGCCAAAGAAGTTGACGCCACAAGAAACAATCTTGGATGGCCGCATGAGCCTTTCCATGTGCCTGAGGATGTCAAAAAGTATGGATGATGTAGTTATTGATTTCTCCGTTTTCCGCCACGCTGTTGTGATAAATATGATACTTAATAAGAATTGCTTTTTCATTTGCAGACATTGGAGTCGCCATGTTCCCGAGGGTGCTGCAGTTGAGTCTAAGTGGAATGCCAAGTTTGCCGAATACGAAAAGAAGTACAAAGAGGAAGCTCAAGTATTGAAATCGATCATTTCTGGTGTTTTACCTACTGGTTGGGAGAAAGCACTTCCGGTGAGTTTATTCCAAAATTTTAAGTTGTTCATTATCGCATTTTTTGTTGGTTCGATCACGAATCTAATTTACTGAATGAATGTATGATCTATAAGGGTTTCAAAATATTATGTACAATAACAAAACTTGACTTCTAAGGATTTATTTCTGGAATAACGATAGTGAGCGGCTTTTCAATTTGATTTCAGACATACACTCCAGAGATCCCAGCCGATGCAACCCGAAATCTATCCCAGCAAAACCTCAATGCCCTGGCAAAGGTTCTTCCCGGTCTGCTCGGCGGCAGTGCAGATCTTGCTTCTTCCAATATGACCTTGCTGAAAGCGTCTGGAAACTTCCAAAGTGATTCTCCAGCAGAGCGTAACGTTAGATTCGGTGTTCGAGAGCATGGAATGGGAGCAATCTGCAACGGCATTGCTCTTCACAGCCCTGGACTGATTCCGTATTGTGCAACCTTCTTTGTTTTCACCGACTATATGCGCGGTGCCATAAGGCTTTCCGCCCTATCTGAAGCCGGTGTTATCTATGTCATGACTCATGACTCAATAGGACTCGGAGAGGACGGCCCAACCCATCAGCCTATAGAGCACCTGGCAAGTTTCCGAGCAATGCCAAATATCTTGATGCTTCGTCCCGCTGACGGTAACGAAACAGCTGGAGCATACAGAGTCGCCGTGCTCAACCGGAAGAGACCATCTATTCTCGCCCTTTCTAGACAAAAACTGCCCAACCTTCTCGGAACTTCCATTGAAGGAGTCGAAAAGGGTGGATACATCGTCTCAGACAACTCAACAGGAAACAAACCTGATCTCATTTTGATCGGAACCGGATCCGAATTGGAAATTGCTTACAAAGCTGGCGAGGATCTAAGGAAGGAAGGAAAGACTGTCAGAGTAGTTTCCTTTGTTTCTTGGGAACTTTTCGACGAGCAATCCAATGCTTACAAGGAGAGTGTTCTCCCTGCGGCTGTTACGGCTAGGGTTAGCATTGAAGCCGGAACAACATTCGGGTGGGAGAAAATAGTTGGAAGCAAAGGAAAAGCAATCGGGATCGACCGTTTCGGAGCTAGTGCTCCTGCAGGAAGAATATACAAAGAGTTTGGTATCACTAAGGAGGCTGTTATTGCTGCAGCAAAAGAGCTTATTTAGAACAGTTTTTGCTGATTCAAGAACTTTTCTCTTCCATTTTTTTTCTTCTGGTTTTGGGTTTGGGTTGATTTAACTACACAAAGAAGTAAGTTTCAATCGCATTGTGTTTGCTTGAATAAGAAGAAGGTTAGGATACTTTGATTAGGATTGTGAACAAGAGTTCACTAATAAAATTTTATGAACTTGTAAACTTTTTTTTAATCAATTGAGTTTTGTATTGCGACATTGTTATAAATAATTCAATGATGTTTACGAATTTTAGAATATGGATTATGTTTTGGAAACATTTATATTATATAATTTGAAATTGTTTAATATACTGGCAACATCTAACTAGAAAGACCTTGACCTTAAGAAACGAGAATGGCCGAATATTGAAATAATCATAAAATAATTAGAAATGTAGAAATGTAAAAAAAGTAAGTTAAATAAAATATACTTAAAAAACAAAGAAAAAGAAAATGGAAAATAGAATAAAAGTGTATAGTAATGTAAAAAAAATTAATTTGATACAATGTTAATATGAATGTGGAATATAAATTGAAATGTGGTTAAGAGAATTAATTGAATATTAAGAATAATAAGTATTATGGTTAATATTATTAAATTGGAAAACACCATACATGAAAAGTGGAAGAGTGCATATAGGTAACTCATTATGTCTAGTTCGACATTGTTCTCTATTAAAAACAAAAAGCTCATGAAAAGTGGAGGAGTGCACATAGGTAACTCATTCTGTCTAGTTCAACATTGTTCTCTATTAAAAACAAAAAGCTCACTCACGAAGGAAAACATAGGAAGTTGAAGAGGAATGGATGCTCCGGCGAAATCAAGGACGGTGAACGACGCCAATTCACCAAGGTAAGAGAGAGAGCCAATGCCTCGTATCTGGTAAGACCCATCTTTTGTTCACTGCGGATTGTGCTGTAAGTGGTTGTTTCGTGGATGAGTTCCTTTGTAGTGGAAATCCATCTGTTTTGTACATGCAAATGATTTTGGTTCTTCAGAAATTTGTATATCTACTCCTCGTATACTGCAGATGTAATTTTAGCACTGCAAGCACATTGATATCCGTGTATTAACCTGGAATAATGATACTTGGTAATTTTATTATTACAGTTCGAAGATGGGAAAGGAAGTGAATCATGTCTACATGAAACAGATGCAGAGTGACAGGGATATCATGTCACATTAGGGCTCGCATGGTGAGGAAAAACAGAAGGGAGTGATTATTAACGGGGGTGGGGCCGACAGTACGAAGGGGAAAGCGGGTGGAGTGCATTTGCAAAAGAACTTAATCGAAACCGTGAGGCAGAGCATTCCAAAAGTGTAGGTTGGAAGGGAAAAGGCAAGGTAGGGGAGGTTGCAAAAGAATCTAAGGGAAAATCTGAACTTTTGAATGTTGTAGGTTTGAAGGGAAAAACCCAGAATGATGTTGCTGACAAAAGTAAAGGTGGGCGTGGTGTAGAAGAAATCAAGGGTAAGGGTGTGGATTCAACTGTTGTAGGTGCCGCCAAAGTCAAAACTGAGAAGGAGTAGATAACTATTTCATTTGACAGCGATAGGTAAAAATGGCGAATAATAATGCAAGTGCAGATGTTTATTCGTAGGCAATAAACACATAGGATCTAATTATGAAAGGTTTAGTCATATAGTGTTATGTTTTGATTGAATGTAGGGAATTTAGTCCCATCTTTGAAGAAGAGTTTGAAGAAAAATGGATAAGGGTTGTTAAAGATGTGAAGGCGCTGCGCTCTAATGTCCTGCTAAGCCGCATAGATCGACATTTGTAGTCATATAAGTAACATCATAAACTGTTTGGCAGATTAAGTAGTTATTTGAATTGTACAGCAAATATCACGCGATGTGATCAAGAGCTGCCTTCGCAAACCACAAGACTCCATTGTCCTATACGAAACAGACAAATGTTGTGCCTACTACTATGAATTAAAAAAGAGGCCAGGTAAAATGGAGAATTATCTTCTTGGTGGGTGGTACGATTTTGCTAAAGACATGTTGATAAAAGAAGGAGACGCACCAGAGTTCTGCATCAGATATCCTCCCCCAAGCAAAATTTTAGTTTCTGTGAAGCGGGGGAATGCAAGGTGTAACACTCCCTTTCTATACCCCCAAATAATCACATAAACAATTAGTCACATATAAAAATTTCATCAGAGTATAATTATAAACATAGTATAAAAGAGGCGCGCCACATTACGCATGAAATTAAAACATACAACACCTGCTCAACAAAAGATATGCAACAGTGGGGTAACTTGCAACAGAGGGACTTAGTCCTCACACTCACATCTCAATACTTAGAATAAAAGCGGAAAATCTAAACATTGAGTAACATCAAACATATATACACATATATATCATCCAGTATGATACAACAACATAAGTCATGTTTTCATAAACATTCAACAACAAGATACATATACAAATGTATCACAAAAAAGGATCATATACATCCTAGCTACCTGGTGCTACATATCAGAGCTGACCGACCAAAAGAATGAAGACACACTTCACAAAAAGACCTTCAACATACCTACTGTGCAATGCCTCATAGAGCATCATAAAACAGCAGAAGAGTGAGAAATATTATCATAACAACAATGCATATAATTATATATATCATAGCATAAAAATACACACATTCTGCATTCTCATCACAATTCATCACAACTCATTCATATACATCACAAAGTGTATATATACATATAAAGCCAAACATATTCATCATGCATATTTTCACAATTCTTATCATTCCACATAAACATTCACATTTATGTTTATTCACCAAGACACAATTATAAAGATGATAAAGGCAAATCATAGAGACCGACTCACGATTCTATGCAAATGCAATGCGGTACCGATTCAATCATCTCAAGTTCACTCAGGAACTTATTGGAACCATCGCTCGTTACCAATGTAACTCCCCGTCGGGCTTACGATGTTCACCCATTGCTCACACCTCACATAGGCACACAATATTTATGGATTGCTCACACCTCACATAGGCACACAATCCGATTGCTCACACCTCACATAGGTACACAATCGTTTGTAATCATCGATCACATCTCACATAGGCACACGGTGTTACAACAGATTCTCATTAGAATCACACAACACAAGAATGTACATCATTATGCTTCACATATAAAATGACTCAAGACACTCTTGAAATGCATACATATTCACAATATATTCATGCATTCATCTCATACTATCACATACAATCCATATACAATCACATCAATTACGCCAAACGGCCACGAGCATCGCTTTACCACCTAAACGACAACGAACTCTATCACAATCATCATGCATTTACATTTAACTTAAACAATGCATTTATTTGCTAAAAGGCCACAATTCACAATAAATTCCACAATCTAGGATTCACACCATACGGCTACCCACAGCATATCATATAATAGCACACAAGCTACACGTTATATATCGAAAGCATACAGTATGATAACACGTCAAACGCACCCGTTCACGACGGTAAAAGTTGACAAAATGACACGTTTCGAATTTTCTGCTATAATTGGATCATACACTGAAATCAAAATCATTTTTCCTAGAAATAACATCTCTTTAGCTTTCCAACGCTTCGAACGGGGACTAAAACCGACTTACGGATCAAAAGATATGAATTTTCGAAGTTTTCCGAAAAACCAGAATTTTGCCTAAAAACTGCTACGGGATTTTGCATTTTTACCCGAAAATCCGACCGATTCAATCCTTTCCTTTGAAACAAACACATACTCATACTCACCTAACATATAGCAGTGAATTAGAACCATTAAACACGATTTCTACGACGTCCGATTTCCACTCAAATCTCAAATCCTCAATTATCCACAAATGTTAAAAGTTACGAAATCACACGAATTCAATCAAACAAGTTTCAATAGTCACTGCCTAACATTCCTCGACTAAACTACGCAATTTATTTCGAATTCTAACCGTGAAAACATCGGTTTCTATCGATTTTACCAATTCGACCTAAAATGGAAATATGTGGAAAAACAACCAAAACAATCCAAACAAAATCATACATAATTGTTGCACCCTAAAATTTGCCCACCCGTTTTCTAGCTTTGACTGGCTTTTGCTTCGTTTTTTATCTGCATATCATTTTCATTTTGCCCGTGTTATCGGCCAGATTGAATTTATCAGGATTTTAGCCGTTTTGCTCGCGTTTCAGGCAATTCAAATAATTCAAACGAGAAGTTCAGTGTCAAAATCGAGCGAAAGTCGTTTTCCTCGTGATAATTCAATCCATGTCGATAATATAGGCGCATTTCGGTGCTCGCCCGTTTTTCCATTGCATTTTGCATTTATTTATTATTTTTGCTTTATTTAATCATTTAGAATAGTTATTTATTTATTTCTTTAGGATAGATTTTATTTTAATAGTTTTTATATAGAAGTTTAATTTATTTGAATTTTTACTAGAAATAGTTTTTTCTTATTTAGAATAGAAATAGATTGTTTTTATAGCATATAATTAATTTGTTTTTAGAATCATTTTAGGATTTTAGAATTAAATTAGTATTGTTAGAGATATTTTAGGATTTAAATATTTTTAGATTTAGATTTTTTATCCTAGAGTTTTAATAGTTTTAATTTTTAGAAATAATTTATTTTTAGAATATAGACTTTTTTGTTTAGAAAATAGGTTTTAGAATATTAATAGTTTTGAATAGATTTTTATTTTTTTTAAGTTATTATCATTTTATTATTTATTACATTAGAATTAGTTTTAGCATAGAATATATATTAGTTTTTATTATTGTTCATTTATTAATTAGTTTGAAATAGTTTTTATTAATTAATTTTAATTTTTTTAATGTTCATGTAATACATATTTGTTTGTGCATATTTTTTAACAAAAGGAAATCCGTCCCATCATCTTTGCATTTCATCCTCAAATGCGTAGCATTTCCATTTCGTATGGAGCATTACGCCATAAAACA